GTTTACATATGTAGGCTAAGTCATTTATGTAAATAATAAAGAATAAAGGGTCTAAAATTGAGTCTTGGGGGACACCATAACAAGTATTTGAAAATGATGACTTATGATAGTTAAAAGAAACATATTGCATTCTATCTGTTAGATAACTGTTGGACCACTCAAAGGCGATACCACGAATACCATAATGATGCAGTTTACAGAGTAGAATCTTGTGATTTATGGTATCAAATGCCTTTGAGAGGTCCAAGAAAATTCCAAAAACATGTTTCCTCTTATTAGGTTCGGAAATAGTGTCATCATATGCCTGTAAAACAGCCATTTCAGTAGACATATTTGGGCGAAAGCCAAATTGGTTTTTATGCAATAGATTATGTCACGTCGAGAAAGATAGTTATAGAGTCTTTTATGAATAATGCGTTCTAAAATTTTGGAGAAAACGGGAAGGACTGAGATGGGCCTATAATTACCAAAGGTATCAGTCTTCCCACTTTTGTAAACAGGAGTTATCTTGGCAATTTTCAGTTTCTCTGGAACAATTCCAGTAGTTAAGGATAAATTAAAAATGTGAACAAGTGGATGTGCTATTAGTTCACCAACTGATTTATCAAAATCAGGCTTGATATCATCAAAGTCGCTACTAACACCAGATTTCAAATTTCTAACTATTGAGAGTATTTCATCTGTATGTATGTGAAAAAAAGAAAGATATAAGTGGAGATTTAATTTTATTCATGAAACTTTTGAAAGTAATATCATGCTGATAAATTTTACGCGAGTATTCAGGACCAATTTTAACAAAATATTTATTAAAATTATCAACAATAATTTGAGGATCAGAAATGTGTATATCGTTTATTTTATAAAAAGATGAGATTGGTTTAGTCTTATTTAGTCAACCCATTATGTTGTTAAGAATATTCCAAGTTTGTTTTGAATTAAACTTTGTTTCCTCTAGCTTTCTGGCATAGTATTGTTGTTTAGAATTTCTGATTAAAGAAGCAAGCTGATTACGATAATTAACATAGAAAGTTTTGTTACATTCAGTAGGGTTGTTTACATACTTTTTATACAGCATTCCTGAGTTCGTGGCTAACATGAACTTAGCTCTAACGTGGCTAACACGAACTCAGCAAAACTATGGGTGTACATAAAAAATCTCATAATAATAATGTAATAAGTTTAGCTCCCGAGTTTGAGATTCCCGGCATCAAGTGGTCAATCGGAAAGAGCAGTTGGTCCGGTGCTTCCAATCTCCTTCTTCCGACCATCTAAGATCTACAATATAATACAATAATACATGACATAACAAAGAATCTACAATTCCATAATGTTTCGAAGCTATAAAGTTACATTTTACATTACACACAAGCAAGGGTAAGTACAGTAATAATCAATATACTTGCACATTTAATTATTACCCAGCCAATCCCGCACTCAGCCGTTCCACTCAACAAGACAGGGAAAAAAACCTTCATCAACTCCAACTCCAACTCGAGTAGAGCAGAGATACCTATACTAACAATAAAACAATACAATGATTAGATACTTAAAAATACACGTGAACAATTTATGTCAAGTATACGGTCTCGGAATTATAATTCAGTTTCCCAAATTTAGTCATTTCCTTTTAATACTATTTCCCGGACGAGCCCCCAAAATTGTCACAAGTTCCTCCAGAATTCCAAAACGGAGGCAGGACCTCGGCAATAAGTTACGCCACGGAATTAAATTCGGTTTTAACTTTATTAACCACAACACATCACATAACAATAAGTCCATTTAACTATCGCAATTTATACCCTTTATTACTTTGTATCACATAACGATCTCCAATTATATAATAATATCCATAATAATAATATTATATACTTCCTTCAATATCATATATAATATACGACAGTATTCCTAGCCGTATTGCCAGATTTATCTGGCCGAACGCCCTCTTGAGGCGTAGCATTGTGTAATACAATGTTCCCGATGGTTATTTGGACCTGTTCAACCATGAAGCCTTCGTGGTCTAGTGGTTATGACGCTTCGTTTGGGTCGGTGCCCTCGCTGCACTGATGAGGCCTGGAAGACCGAAACGGATCCGTCTGCAGATATTGGGATTCCTTCCAGTGGATGCTTAGTTTATTTTGTCATTCTGATCGGGTTTTCTCTACTGTTTCGTTTTAATTTTAAATAGTTTTGCATTATGTGGCCGTTTGCTGTTTCACTATATATATATATATATCAATGTACAGCTCAAGAATAATAATGCCAGTATTATCACGGCTTACAAGTAATATTTTCAACAATACAGTTGTCATAGTTTTTTACAAATTGCGATAATCAATCCTGTCTATCACCATCGGTACTACAAACAATCATTCAGTATTGTATATAAAGACAATTTTGCTTGTAAGACTATCAATTAGGCCTATCTCTATCACATTAACAATTACAATCAACACTTCAAGGCAATGCAATAATAACTGGTTATAACAATAATAATAATAATAGTAATAAACAAATATAAGAATAATACTCAGCACTTATAACTTCTCAGGATTTGTTAGCCACGTTGAAGAGCCACGTGTACTCCCAGGCTTTTGAGAAATACGACGAGGAGAATTCTTGGATTGCTTAAAAGAAAAAGGAAAGTGCAGTGTAGACCTCTGTGAATTTACGAATGAATACGTTATACGCAAGCTTAGGAGAATCAAGGCCAGTAATACAGGTCCAATCAATAGTGCTCAGATCGTTATAAAAATTATGAACTCTAGTTTGGTTAAATAAACGAGTAGGGATCTTTTTCGAGGTACTGATATTACTAATAGGATTGGATTTGGTGATTTGGTAAATTGAATAATGATCAGAGATATCGGCGACAACAATACCTGATTTGATATTATGGGGAAAAAATTGGTAAAAATATTATCAAAGAGGCTGTAGTAGGTGTTATTCTGGTGGGTCTGTCGATAAACATGTTATGGTTATAAAAAAAATAGAAAGAAACTCATTTACAGTGTAATTTTCATTGGAATGCAACAGGTGAAAATTAAGGTCACCAGATATATAACATTGTTTTTCTTCAGAACTAATTTTTATAAGACAGTTCGTAAGATCATTAAGAAATCTGTCAGTATTAGTACGATGTGCACGATAGATATTACCAACAATAATGTTTTTCTTACCAGGAACCAATATTTCGATAAAAATAGATTTAGAATGGTCTATGTGCTCTAGTGGTTGGTCGATCAATATTAGATCATTCCTGATTCGAAACGATATTTTTTTATGAACATAATTAGCAACACCTCCACTTCTTCTTTCACAAAGAGGTACATTAATTAAATTATACTGGTACTGATAATTGTAGCCGTCCGATTTCAGAAATTCGGCAGCCATTGTCATTATTTTGGCGTAAAAGACTGCATATTGTGATGAGGGACCTGTGTACAAACAATTACCAAACACAAAAAATATGGCAAACTGAATGCTATTTACAAAATATTCTATTTAATGCTTATGGGTATAGTTATTTATATATATTTCATTGGAACCATCCTCTGTAAACCATGTTTCTGAGAGCGCTATAATAAAAAAGGTGTGAATTAAACTTGTAAGGAACGCAGTAATCGGATTGACATTTTTATTGAAACTGCGTGATTTTATATGCAAAATTGAAAAATCATGCTCATCACATGAAACTGAGATCAACATTGTAGGAACACGAATGGGGTATATCATAATCAAAATTATTAGCGTTATTTATCACATCATTCATCAGATTGCTGGATCTCGAACGAGATTCGGTAAGCTCATATGCCTATAGAAAAAAATGTATGTAGGTATATCCATTTATTAATTATATCTATATTATGTATATTATGTACATTTATTTATATATATCCGTATATTCATTTATTAATTATTATATCTATATTATGTACATTAATTTATATATCCGTATATTCATTTACTAATTATATCTATATTATGTACATTATTTATATATCCGTTTATTATTTGATACATTTTGTAATCATTTGAAAAAATTGCATGTAAAATGTGGTCAGAATTAAAATTCTCAGTTTTTTGTGTGTTAGACTTGATGTATGAATGGTGTACCGGTCCCAGGGAAGAGTCAAAATTTCACTGTTCTCTGGGTGTTATTAGTATTTTCCACTGTTGTATTAGGCGAGCAAAAAATAAAATTATGAATCTGTAGGTCCTAAGATAGTAAATGTTTTATTATTCGAGAACAGCATTATTCTGCTGCCAAGGTCAAAGTAGTTTCACATTTTTCCATTGAACATACAGTAAATCCCTTATTAAGTGTCCCCTTAATAGGCCATATATATATATATAT